ACAGTCGTGTGTGAATGGGAAGAATATGCTTGTTTATCTTCACATTAGCAATGAAGTCTTGGCTTAGTGTCTGACACACAGAGCATGGGCGTCTGCAGTGCTTCTCAGACTCGACTGATACTTTGGTTTTACAATAAAGAAAAATGCTGACAATTTTGCGCAAGCACCAAGTACAAAATGGGAGTGTGTTTACGGCCATTCCAGAAAATTTTGGAAACTCTGTCTTAATCTCAAGCCAAATTCATTACATTTTTTTAAAAGAAACTCAACTCATTCATTCAAACAGCATTTTTAGAAAGTGAAATATTCTAACATAATACACCCTGAAGATACACTGATTTGACGCACGCTGGGGAGTAACAGGAGGGAAATATTAAAGCTGGGTTTCTTGTGATTCGGCCATCTTGCTCCTGTAAGAGCAGAATAAGAGCAGAGACTTTGTGTGGACTCTAAAGACGCTGCAGTCCGAGCTGAGGTGTTCCGGACGGTGTCCATTGCCCTTGTGTGCGGACACGACCTGTACAGCACAGAGTATGCGTGCTGCATGGTCAGAGCCGAGGCTAAAATTTTACTGCGGCCTCCATTTTCTGACCTCCGCATTCTGTCACTCCGCCCACAGTTTAAGAAGCCGCAGTGCGAACGCTCTGGAGGTGAGGAGGTCTCCCGGTGTAGTCCCGTTAGTATGTTTCCCCAGATGTCCCAGAATGGCTCTCCCGAGTGTCACTGTCATCTTCTAACACCCACCGAAGATGTCCTTCCTACCTGGATGGGAAGAGTGACTGTGAACACCGCTGTGCACCGGTCAAAGTCACACTGAGAAGGACACAAGCGAGGGGACAGAAGACAGATTCAAGGGGGCAGAGAAGAGGGTGGGAGCTGGAGACGACCATGGGAGAGACAAAATGTGATGTCTCTGCCTCTTGTCTTTTAAAATAACACAACAGCAGCCACAAATGTGACTGACTCAAGCGTGGCCTCCCTGCGTCAGGGCCAGCAACACCTCTGTGGTTTTGGTAGCGGGGCCCAGCGGTGGTCTGGCTCCCCGACCCGTGAAGCAAGAGCGTGGGAAAGACCTGAAGCCACAGACCATGTTTTGTTTTCTGGCAGGCGAGCTGTTGGCTTCTGTTATGGCCACACTAACAACACCAAAGCATTTATTTCCAAAGATGCTGGATAAGTCATTTAAAACCATTTTCCCGTTGGTGTTGGGACAATTGCCACCTGGTGAAATAGGTCTAGGGTGAGCACGGGGAGCATGTTTGGGGCTTCCTGGTCACCTGTGGAACAGATGTTTGGTGTCTTACCTAGGGCTGAGGCTCCTGCATTGTCAATAAATGGCGAATACTGACTTGTCCTTTGGACAGCTGTGACCACCTCACCCCTTCAGCGCTTTGTAGGTATGTTTGCCATGTTGTGAACCTGTAGTACTGTAGTTCACAACTACAGAATCTGTCAACAGATACTGGAGTTAAAGCTGAAGATCACATGATAAGAAATCCCAACGAGCTGAGCATATATATCAAACATAAAAAAAAAAAAAATCTCATCGGGCCTCACCCTCCCTGGGGGAATGAGGGGATAAGGGGGGGGATGGGGGGAGGGCACGGGAGGAGGGGAGGGAAAGGGAGAGGGACCTCGTACTGACTTGTGAAGCAACCTTGTTTCTTATCTAAATTTAAAATGGAAAATAAAAAAAATATTAATAAAAAGAAAAAAATCTCATCAGACTTGCGTCCCAGCACAAGGTATCCATTATGCATATTTAAATATTTTGAGGCCCACGCCCAAAGATCAGAAAGCTTAAATAGGTATGATCCCAAGTATCTTGCACAAAGTCTACCTTATTTGTGATAGCAACATGCGGGCATTCATTGAGGTCTCACTAGAACATTTTCTACATGTCTCTTAAATGTGGTGTGGTTTTAACAGAGGCAGTGTGGCTTGCCTGAGAAGAAGTCCAGCTTAGCTTAGAAACGGTGACTCATCAGCAGTCCGAGAACCTTGTAGAAGCGGTGTGTTCTGCCTGTCCACCTACCAGCCCAGAGGAGCCCATCCTGATGGGTGAAGGACTCAGGAGGAGCGGGAACGGAAGCATTTCCATAATCGCCACGAGAGGGCGCCGCGGCGCCGTAGGGTGATGCCAAGTGGAATCCTCGCTCTGTTTTGCAAAATTCAAGCATGATTTTCTCCCTGGCTTCTTGGCTTCTCTTTCTTAAGGCTCTTCGCCCACAGGACTGTTTTCTTTTCCTCTTGATGTCATCCTTTTACACGGCAGGAAATTGTGTTCATTGGAAACAAAGCTGACTGGCACCCAGTCAGATAACTAAAACGTTACAAGTAACACATCGGAAATCAAGAGTTGTTCACTAAAACAAAATAGAACAGGGAACACAAAATCAATTTCTTTTTCTTTTCCTTTTTTTTAACGTACCGTGTTTGCATGGATAAACCAAGTTCAAAATAAAATGCTTATATTTCCCAAGCGTTTCTTCACAGTTTAAAAACTGTAAAGGCCCTCATGAACGGTTGGTGCCAGTCTGTGATCCCAAAACTTGGAGTCTGGATTCTCTGCCCCTCCACACCGTCTTGCTTGTGGCAATTGTTAAGAAAAAAATTGAAGATTCTGTCTGTAGCCTCACTGCCTATGATTTTTGAACAATTACCCAACTCTTCCTCATCTTAAATGGCTTCATATTTTCTGTTTTGTGTATTTTTTCCAGAGTGACACTAATTACCTTGCTGAGGGAGAGAGAAAAATCTGAATTATAGCAATAAAGAGAAAGGAAAGAAATAAGGGGCTCCGATCCACTAGAAGTTAGGAGATTGAGCCTGAAGTGTCCCCAGGTACACAGCAATAGGAATAAATCCAGCTATGGATATCAGTGTGAAAAACAATCCAGTCAGGTAGAAAGGTTTGCAATGCAGAGCAACCTCACTGTTTCCTCACTTCCTGATTAGTCTGTAATAATCATGGGAAACAATGGAATTCTCTACGACACCCTCATTGTATAGGTTATGTACATTAACCGCAGTATCTTCCCCTTACTCGCCTGTGACCACACCCTAATTCCCTTTGAAAGAAATGAGTCATCAGGGTGCGTTTGCAGAGTGATGTTCCCTCGGAGATCCTCAGAGAATCTCGGACAAGCAGGGGCTGCTAGGATCCTGTCTTGCTTTCCTGACAGCGGGAACCTGTTTGGGTGGGGTTCATCCTAGGGTTGAGAAATCACAGGAAGTCTGCTACGTGAATTAGCTCTCACACCAGAAAAGGAGGGAAAGTCAAATGCCAGGATATAATTAGATTGCTACCCTGAAAAGATAGGACGGGAAGGGGGACAATGCTAGACACTGTGAAGGTAACTTATCCCTGAACAACTCAGAGACATAAACACCACTGTTCTGCGCCAAGTCGGCGGGCCACCATTTTTGCTTTTCTCTTGGCTGATGCCCAACTTTGCAGGGCTGTGGGATGCTCTGGTTCAGTGTCACTACCCTGGACCTCCTGGATTCCTATTATGAAGCCAGGGTCACGTTTCCCTCGCCTTCATCTTCCCACGTAGTCACCTCTCTGCTTCGTATCCGCCTGCAAACCCAAGGTCCCATAGGAGAGAAATCTCCATGATACTTGTCTTTCTCTGTCTAGCTGCCTCCTGAACACTGCAATCTCCAGTCCCATCCATTTCCTGCAAACAGCATAATCCAGTTCTTCTCTGTGGCCCCTTGAAACTGTTACATGCACAGTGTAACCATTCTGGCAGGTGACAGATGCCTGGCGCCTCCTCTGCTGCTCTGATGTGGATTCCTACAAGTCTGCATCCATCCGGCATTGCCCTTACATCTTCCGGTAACTACTCACATTGTGAGTCTTGCCAAGCTTTTAAGGTGACACCACCCCCAAGGAAGTAAAGCCCACCTGAAAAGGGATCTGAATGTCCACAAACTGGTTTCTTGCTTGGGGTAGAAAATGGTTCTCACTTGCCAGGCTGACAAAGAAAAAAAAATTATGACTTTGTGATTTTTTTTCACACGGGTGCCAATCAAACCACACCATAATTTTTTTGCTTCCAAATGTGAGTATAGAACCTTATTTCAGGGACATCTGTCATCTCTCAAAGTTGCAGTTTAATTTTTCATTGAGGAAGAGTAGGGGAAGGTAACAACAACTCAGTCCCAGCCCACGTGCTGCCTCCACCTGCCACCCGGTCGGGCCAGAGGATTTGGGCTATGCGGTCAATGGCGGGAACCAAGATGAGCTGCATGTCCATACTCCAAACCCAGCCTCCCTGCAGCAGGAAACGGCACACAGGAGAAAGGGGAGGGGATAACACAAGGTGTGTGCAAACGAGTGTACAGTCACTTGTGCCCATCTCTGCTGCTGGCTCAGCTGCAGTCCGACCCAGGGAAGGAGATGCAGAGTCCCTTCCTGGGGTTCTTGGAGGCAGAGCTGCACACACAGCTCAGGATGAGAGGGGGAATTCTGCTACCCAATCTAAACCCTCCGACAGGCACCTCCTGGCCTCCCTTTCTTATGAGATGTCCTCTCAGGAGTGGTTAGGCAACCGCGTTAGGCTAAACAGCAGCAGCTGAGTGAGAGTCACCGAAGGGGAGAAACCCAGGTAGTTGGGGTCCTTCCCAAATTAGGAATCTGCCCTGGATAACCAAAGGGCCGTGAAGTCCTTGCATCAGGACAACTAGCAGGCTCTCCAGATGCATTCTGGGTATGTGAGGCTCAGAGTGAGCACTCAATGTTCCAACTTTCAACGGCACAGAAAAACTAACTATGTTTGTTTGGGCTGAGGGCCGTTGGCCGTTGAGCTCCACCACGTGGCAGCATTCAGTGCCGGGATATGAAGAGGAATTTGCGTATTTGCCATCCAAAGAACAGAAAGGAATTTTCCACTCTCTTCATCTTTAAACACATCCTGTACTCACTCACCAGACAAGCATGTGTTGGGAGAAAGTTTGTAAATGGGAAGCAGGGCCAAGAGCTGAGGAGAGGTCAGTCGTGACACCGCAGAAAGCCATCTGAGTCACTGCAAGTTCCCACACATGGGGAGAAGAAACTCAGATTTGGCCCCCACCTCTAGTTCCCCCCTTGTCTCCCCGAGACAGCCTGGGGTCAACCAAGAGTTTTCACGTAAGTATCTTCACTTGTCTATTGCTTGCTCTCTCAAGACAGGGCCTCACTATGTAGCCACCTTGAGCTCACAATCCTCCTGCCTCAGTCTCTCCGTCTGCCCCATCCCACTCAGCTTGCACATAGCATACATTATTTTTTTAGCCCAATTAGTCTTCTGGTGAAAGATCAAACTTGCCTGGACCCCCTATGGGATGTGCCTCAGTCTCTCCTCAAGTCATTTTCACTGACAAACCATGGTGAACAGACCACAAGAAAATGGGGTTTGTGGCTGAGTTAGTCACTGAAGAGTACCACAGGGCTCAGCACCTGTATTTCACCTTCTCTTGGACATGCTCGCCCCTCTCAGCCCCTCCTCCGGGTCAGCTCTGGACACACAGCAGCACAGACACACTGTAGATCTGTACCAGGTCCCTCTGGCCTGGCCTAGTATGTAGGAATCATCATTGTCTCTCCCCTTCGCACACCCTGCTCTCGTGTAATGTCTATGAAATACATGGCCTCTCTTTCTTATGGACAGAGAAACCAGCTCCTGGTAAGCAGATACACTGCATAGTCACCTGTCAAACTGTATTTCAGTGGCAAAGCCAAACAAACTCAAGTGTTTTCTTTCTGCCCCATCGTATCCTGCTACTGTGCTGTCAAAAATTAGCAGAAATGCCAAACATGAATATTCTGCCGTGAAATGGAAGACGGCATGGAAATTTCTGAGCACAGAAAATGGCAACCAATTGGTGTGAGCTTTGTACTTCTCCTTCCTGCTCTCTAAGACAGGTATGTAGGGGTGTGTGTGTGTGTGTGTGTGTGTGTGTGTGTGTATACCCAATGTGTCTAATGTGTGGTGTTAGGGCATGTGTGTGTGTGTGTGTGTGCACGCATGCACGTGCACGTGTGTAGCAGTCACAGGACACCTTTGCAGAGATGGTTCTCTCCCTCCATCTCACAGAGTGCTGGCGGTACACTCAGGTCACCAGGTTTGCACACAAATGACTTTACCCCCTGATTTGCCCAGTCCCACGTTTTCATCTTTAGCATCTTGCTATGCGTTTAATTGCTGAAAGGGGCTTTTCAACTAATTTTTGGTTAGCAAGCAAAATAATGAGTTTTACTATGACATTTTCATACATGCATATCTTTAAACTTTTCTCATATTCACCATCTGGGATTGTCTTCTGTCTCCCCTCCTCTGCCGGCTTGTCACACTGAAAATAGTCCCTCTTGTGACTCTATGTCATACATATGGTGTATATAAGAGAATTATAGACTCCCCCATCCTTACCCTCTCTTATTCACCCATGCCCACACCCTCTGGAGGCCCCCTTCTACTTTCATGGCTTCTGTTCCTAAAATGTGATTTCTGCATGTGAAAGAAAGCATGTGCCGCATGTCCTTCTGGGTCTGAATCATTTTGCAAAGCATGAGAATTTGCAGTTTTACCCATTTTCCTGCAGATGACGTGAATAAAGCTTCTCTAGGAAGGTGCCACTTATTCTTTCCTCTCTCTTCACGGTCATTGAGGTTGCTTCTGGGCTGCGCAACCACAAACAGGGAGGTACCAGTGTCTCTGGAGTGTGCTAGCAGAGATTTCCTTGTGTATATACCCAAGAGCGGGACAGCCGGGTCATGTGGTGGGCCTGTTTGGTTTTAGCTGTTGTTTGCTTGCCGATTTCCATGGTCATTGCACAAGTTTGCATCCTCACCAGATGTGCATAAGGGCCCCTTCTCTACACTCTCAGAACTATCTGAGGTACAAGATTAAAAGAATATGCACTGAGGTGCTTGGTGGTGGCTCACACCTTTAATCCCAGCACTTGAGAGGCAGAGGCAGGCAGATCTCTGTGAGTTCAAGGCCAGTCTGGCCTACAGAGCGAGTGCCAGGAGAGGCTCCAAAGCCACACAGAGAAACTGTCTTGAACCCACCCCCCAAAAAACAAAAATATCAAACAGAAAAGAATGTGCACTGAATAGCAGAATGGTGTGGTCTAATAACTGACTTGTAGGCATAGTGGAGTGATGGAGTAGCTTGAATGCAAAGAATTCCCAGGCCTCTCCAACCAGTGCTCCTCTAGGCTTCAGCATAGCTTTTGATGTGTAACTGACGATCTCTCTATTCTAGGTGTAGGGCTATAAGTATCCTTACCCATAAGAGATGCATCCTAGTCTCCATTGGGTGTCTGCAACTGAGAATAATACCAAACCGTATGCATCCATACATTTGTATGTATTTATATTTATACACTTTCCTATATAAACATACCTACGATTCAGTTTAACTTAAAATTTTTGATACAGTAAGAGATTAATAACAATACCTGACAGTCAAGTAGAACAATTTATAAAATATACTACAACCAAAGTCTGATGAGATGATACAGGAAGAATCTGAATTACCTACATGACTATGCCGGCATTTTGGAGCCATCACTAAGTGAAATAAGAGTTACAAGAATTCAAGCCGTTGAGCGTCTAACTAACTGACGGGTAGCATATACGGTGCGGATACTTTAGACAAAGAGGTGGTTCCTGCCCTTAGTAGAGCAGCGCAAGATTCCATTACCATACTAAGAATGGCATGAAGTTTAACGACTTACTAACCCTATACTTCCGGCGTTTTCCGTTTGATTGTTTCAGAACGCAGTGACTGAAACCAAGAAGAGAGAGTCATCAATGAGAACAGGCCACTCTATGAGTGCTACTTAGAGCTTTTCTCTACCACCACCAACCCCAAACAAGGAAGCCTCTGAATCCCTGCTACAGAAACTCTGGAGGCACCTTAGTCTTACAGGGAAATTGCCAGAACTGCCCTTCAAAACTCTGTAACTTCTTCCTCTCCAGAAAAAAGATCAAGCAAGCAGAGGAGTTCTGAGGTTTAGTTGCTCAGTGAACTGAGGCCTGGGAATCCTCACGTCAGCACAGATTGACAAGTGCCTTCAGAAGGATAAGCTGGAAGAAAAGATAGAGTCCATGCTCACACATAGTTTATGACAGTATATATTGCTAGGAATGTTTGATTTTGTTCTCGCTGTTGTTTATCTGTTTCTAAAGTATGCATTAAAGACATATTTATAGCCGGGCGTTGGTGGCACACAGCTTTAATCCCAGCACTCAGGAGGCAAAGACACATGGATCTCTGTGAGTTCGAGGCCAGCCTGACATACAGAGTGAGTTCCAGGATAGGCTCCAAAGCTACACAGAGAAACCTTGTCTCAAAAAGCCAAAAAAGAAAAATATATATTTATATATTAAACATATATTAAATATGTAAATGTTTATGTATATATGAAAATGTGGCATACACTGAGTTCAACACTATCCAGTTTGACTCACCCACTGGGATTCTTGAACCAACTCCACTGTAGATAATGGGGGATGCTGTACCCCAGTAGACTTGGAACTCATTGGTGACACACTAAAATTCCTAAAATTCGTGGGCAAGGGAGTGTCAAGGAACCTCATAGAGAAGGCACGGAGCAATATGGCTCCATTCCTGGCACAGCCTCAGCCACTGTCTCCCTGATTCTTCCAGAGGGAAGTAACCAGGAAGTGAGAGTCTTGAGAGTCCAAATCTAAATGGGGAGAGATGCTCCCCAAGTCCTCGCTAACAGACCAGTTGTTGATGACTTACCTAAAAATACCAAGTTTGTACTGCCTGGAAATCTTGCAGGCAGATCTGATACCATCTATGCATAGAGGGGCCACCTGGTGTGTGTGTCTGGGATCCACTGGGCAGGCACTGTGTCCTGGGCTCCACACAAGAAAGACTGAGCCCCATTAGTCAGCCTGGTCCCTAGGTCCTCCAGTATTGCTGGAAATCTCCAGGAACCCAGCAGAAGCAAAGACCCATGGAAAGTGATGGAGACATAGAGACAGAATGAAGGACCAGTCAGCGACATCTCTTGGAAGCAACAAATACCTGGGACCAGAAAATCATCTGTAGGAAGTTATGATTCCCATGGTGCAAAGAGAAGCTGAAAAAGCAAAATATCACAAGCACGTGGCTAGAGGGAGCCTCGGCGAGCTCGTCACTCTGAGGGCATTCGGAAGCATCTATGCTCCTCTCGGTGCACCTTTGAAGATGAGAGAAAAATGTAAAGAGGAAGAGAAAGACAGACTAGCGATAATGATGAAACAAAAAGTGGATCTCATGGATGAACCTTGAGGGCACTGTGATATATAGAAAGCAGCCAGTCATAAAATGAGAAATACCGCATGATGTCTGTCATCTGAAGTTCCTAGAATAGTCAGATTCACAGGGATGGAGGTGGAATGGTGGTTTCCAGGGGCTAGGGAGGACGGAAGCAGGGAGAAGTTACTCACTGAGAACAGAGGTTCAGTTTGCTGTGCTCAAAAGGTTTCTGGGGAGGATGGCGACGATGGTCATATCAACACGAATACACTGAATGGCTTTGAGTAACAGCTCAACTTAAAAATGACTAGTGAGGTGGGGAGATGGTGGGGGAGATGGGATTAGTATGTAAAATAAGATTGTTTTAAAAATAAAAATAGTGGTAAATGTGGTGTCCACATATCTTACCAAAATTAATTTTTAACAAAACACATTCAAGTGAAGTCCGGTGTCAAGTCACGATATGAGTGCTATGATGCCAGCCTGCTTGGTGGATTCTCACAGTAGCCAGATGAACTTCCCATGAGGCCTTCCACTCTCCTAGCTCTCCTTCCTGTTACCTCTCCTCCCAGGCCCTTCCATCCTGCCTCTGGCCTAGCTGTCCCTCCCACTCCCTCCTCAATAAGGAGTTATGCAGTTATCTCCTCCAAGCTTCTGAAACTTCCCTTCTGGGTAGGTTCCTCGGTCCTCTGGAATCCCAGAAAAAGAGTCACAAGACCCCTCCTGATCCGTGGCTGTAGAAGCAGAAACAGCCTCTAGGAGAGGAAACAGTGGCTGTGTCGGGAATACTTCACAGGGCTCTAGGAATTCAATTGTCTTTAAGTTGTCACCATGCTGAGTGGGCTTTTCCATGATACAGTTGTCTTCAAGTCACACATGATCATGTAACTAACTCCTCACCCATATTTCTTCAAGAAGCCCCAAGAAAAATCACTGGTTCATTAATCTAGACTTACATGGAATTGTTTTCATGGTTTGTGTCCAGTGTTGTATCTGGGTAAGTAGACATGTGTTAATGCTTCCCCCAAGAAGTCACACATGTGTTAACCATAACTTGACAGGGTTGAATTGGAGCTGATTTTTTTTCCAGGTTGGGCCTTGGGAAATATTAATAGTGGTTGGCAGCTCTGGTTAGCATTATAACACTGGGAGAACTATGCAGTCATAAATTGCCCTGTAATAAGGATTCACTTGCTAGCCAAATCTCACATAGATTTACTGGGGTTAGAATGGTATCACCTTAGAGCTGTAATTCGTGTCTCTCAAATGTGCCTTAGAAGTCTGGCAGATAATGCATCTTTAAAAAGTAGAAAATCTCTTTTTTAATTTATTTTGACAGATTATCATGCAAAGCTTGGAGTGACAGCTAAGTGACTTCCAGGAGCATCATGCTAGCTATGGTTAGTTATCTAACTACAGTGGGAATGTGAAGGAAATTCAGATACCATCTATACCACCTGGGGACCAAAGCCTGGTCGACACTGGACAAGCATAGAAATCATGCTTCTGTCCTTGCTGGCCTTCCCCAAACTTCTCCACTTGGCATCTCAGACTGCCAAGCCTCCCATCCCAGACATGGACCAAACATCCGTGCCACCTGATCTGTCATCTTGACCACCTACTGTATTCCACTGGCATGGAGGCCCAGGGTTGTAGGTACCCCATGCTCAGGGGAGCATATGGGTGTTCAGGAGTCATGAAACAAACAGAGGTACTAAAGAATCTGGTCTCATTAAAAGCATCCAAAACGAAACCAAAATCAACAAGGACAAGAACAAGGTCACCCAGAATAAAAGAGCAACAAGCTGCAGGGGTAGACAACCCAAAGACGATGTACCTGTGAGCCACCAAACACCAACAGCTCTTGCCAGGAAGTTTTGGGCCCTATGGCAGCATTCCATTTGCTTAATGTGCTGTGTCAGCATCCCATTTGCCTGATGTGCAGTTGCAGGGCGTGTGCCTCAGCAGCTGGACTGAGGAAGATGGCGGATACCTTCTAGGTGGCATATGGTATCTTACTTTCTTCCAGAACTTGGTCTTGGCACACTGCGACTTCTCTGTAAAGTCCCCATCCCACCGGATGGCCCCGTGCTTCTGGCGGATGTACTGAATGGACTCGGGCATGCCTCTATAGTCCTTGATTTTCTCCAGCTCAATCAGAATGACCTTCATGCCATCCTGGATGAGGGCGTTGTAGACAGCGATCTGTTCTTCTGACATGTGCTTGAGAAAGCCAAAGCTGGGTGACTCTGGTACCACCAGGACAATCAGTCTCCTACACAGCTTAATGTTTTCATCAATGACGTTGGCCACCGCTGAAAGGGAGAAGGAAGATTCAGAAGATCGAGCATGAGGACAGCAAGGCTGTTAACACTGCCAGAAATGGGGGAAATGGGCACAGGGAAAGGAAAGGGACTTTCAAGTAGACAAGACTGAGGCACAGGTGGGCTAGCATTCATTACCGACTGTTCTGTGCAGGGTTTATGCTCCAGTCCTCTGAATCATCATTGTTTCATTTGGTGGTTGCAGTATGTTCTGTTATCTATTGTTGTGTCTCTTTCCCCAAGACTGTCTTGTTGTCCTACAGTAGCAGGCAGTCTCGTGTATGCTGTATGATATGCATGTTTTAAAACCGATTTTTAAAGAGCAGGAAACCTTTCTTTGTGTTCTTTATAGTTATTTAAATGATCAGGGTTAATATAATTAATTTTGAAGCCAAATAGCACACCATGATGGTTTCTTGGGAAGGGGAGGGACGATCCCACTGAATATTAACTCTACACAGTCTGTTTGGCCTGAGTTGACTCCTGTGAGGTGCAAGAAGGCAGTGCTGACTCTAAGGACAGGTTCTTTTTCAGTTTGCTTATTTTTGTATTTCTACTGTATAAACTGTCCAGTATCTAGAGATAGCCAATACATATTCTTTAAATAACATTAAAAAGTATGTTTCCAAGTAAGAAGAAAGGGGTGCTTATTTTAGTACTCAACTACTTTGCTGTGTGGCCTTCCAAGACAGAGAACAAAGAGGACAAGGAGGGGATTTTGTGTAGGATGGGCCCTGTAGTGGCGTTTACCCAGGCCAGTCTCCCAGATAAACCAGGGAGGCATTATCATCTGTTTCATCCGAGCCAACCCTGGTGTTCATAAACTGCCCTAAACCACATGCCTAGAACACACCTAGGATACAGAAGTAAACAAACAAACAAACAAAATACCCTATCCATCTTATTTAGATCGAGGATGCTGTAGTTTTAGTATGAAATGTCTCCCGTGGGCTCTTCCATATGAACACTGGTCCTTACCTGGTGGCATTGTTTGGTATAATCATGGACACTTGAGGATGTGGACCCTTCATGGAGGAAATAAGTTATTGGGAGTGGGCTTTGAGGCTTTAGCCTGGCCCCATGTCCTGTTCTTTCTGTCTCTGTTTCCCATGCAAGTATGAAACATGATCCTCTGCTTCCCGACTGCCAGGCCAGCATCTCACTCCAGCTGCCATGCCCTCCCCACCATGAGGGACTGCAAACCCTTTTACCCCTTTTACTTGCGTTTGGTGGGTGTTTCAACACAGCAATCAAAAAGTCTCTTACACAGGGGAAGAGATGGTATAAATTATCGTTTATAAAAATCTGTTGTGGAATGTTATTTTAACTAGGTGAAGATATGTTACATCGTTTATGCTGTAGGATATTACTATAACTGTGCAAAGGTGTGCAACATTTGTTTCTGCTGCCTTTGTTAATGATGTAAACAGGTGTTACATTTGTTTCTGCTATATTTGCTTAAATATGTAAAGATATGTATCATTTGTTTCACCTTGCCTGCCTAAGGCACTTGATTGGTCTAATACAAAGCTGAAGGCCCAATAGCTAGGCAGGAGAGAGATAGGAGGTGATGGAGGGCAAGAAGAATAAATAGGAAAGCAAAGAAAAGTAGAAGAGATTGCAGGAGAAAGAGAGGGACAGACCTGGGGCTAGAAGCCAGGCAGCTGACAGTCAGACATGAACATAGCAGGAAAGTAAGACATACAGAAGGAAAGGAAGGAAGGAAAGAAGGAAGGAAGGGAGGGAGAGAGGGAGGGAGGGTGGGTGGGAGGGAAGAAAAAAAAGCCCTGAGGCAAAATGTAGATGAAGAGAAACAGGTTAAATTATAAGAACTAGTGTGACAAGCATAAGATAAAGCCGAGCATTCATAACTAATAAGAGGTCTCCATGTCATGATTTGGGAGCTGGTTCGTGGCTCAAAATAAACAGCCTGGTACAAAAATCAACTTTGAACATCATGGTATTTGCAGGTTCAAACTAATGAGAAAACAGACCATAGTTTCAGTGACAGTAAAGTTAATGACCACTTGACTACTTCCAGATTTTTCGGTTTTGACCAAGACTGCTGCTTGTTCCCATGACTGAGTTAACTGCATCCCTAGGCTGAAGAGACTCCTATTACTGAACCAGGACTCCCTAACATTGTGTTGTAGCAATAAGCCTAATGAAGCAAAGGACTAACATGAATATGGGACTAGGAGGCTCTGTGCACAGACTTTTGACAGTTCTGTGTCTTCAGGAGATATTTGTAACATTAAATAGAGGTAGGGAGAGGAGGGGATGGGAGAAGACGGGAGAGGAGAGGTCTCCTTTTTTGTTATTGATTGAGATACGGTCTCTACATCCAACCCCAACTGGCTCTGTATTCACATTCATCCTGCCTCAGCCTCCCTAGTGCTAGGATTACAGGCATTGCTCTTTTTTTTTTCTTTTGTTGTCTGATGCCTCAGTTAAAAACATACCTTGTCCAGGGAATTCATCCCTGCCAAAAATAAACAACTTATATCCACACTGCTTCTCCAGCACCTCAGGCAGGGTCTTCCACACCATCGTGTCCATATCATGGCCCTGGCTTTCTCTTGGGCACTTGGGGTATAAGACATAGGCATCATACATCTTCTCATCTGAAAGGGAAAAGAGACAAGCTCACAGAAGGACTCCATCAGATCCCTCAAGGAAACAAAGTCAATCTTGGGTCACTCCTGTGATACACCTAACCCTGACTTCAGTGACCTCCATGTGCCCCGCTGGCTATCATGCTGCGATCTGGTGACTGACCCATGAGAGACATGTCTCATCCTCACTACCGGGGAACAAACTCTAGACCCAGCAGGTGCAACCATTTCTGCAGTTCCTAATTGCTTCTCAAGTCTCCCACTGCCTGTGGTGGAGCTGAAAAAATGTGACTTCAGCGTCTGGGATTCATTAATTGCAGATTTGGGCAATGGAGATCTGTACTAACCATGCCAAGCAAAAATGGCTTGAGTCCCTCCTAATCTAGCACACGGGAAAATTCATCATAGCTTGGTGCTCTGTGCACAGCAGGGAGCATCCTCCGTAGAAAATGCAGTTCCCAGGTTGGTACCCAAATCTATAACTCCCAAGCCCAGGCATAGCCTGTGGCATCTCTCCTCTCATGGCCTCTCATTCTCCTGCCACTGGATTTACTTAAAAAGCAAACGTAAGAAGCTACATTTGCCAGATGTTTTCTGCTTTGACAGAGTCCCAGTTCTCTTTTGAAACAAGGCATCTAAGGACACAAGTCCTCCTCGGTCTCCAACTCACTGCCCTTGGAACAAATGGAGAGGGATCTGGTGGCACGAAGTCTCATGTGTTTTGAAAACTCAGAACAAAGCAAGCCCCCAGTGTTTACGTCTTTGTTTCTAAGCTCGTTTTCTTTCCGTGCTGGAGACCAAACCCAGGGTGGCGCGTGTGCTTGACCGGTGAGTTAGCTGCATCAATAACCCTCAGACCAAGATCTGGAGCAAAAGCATTATTTACAGACTTGTTCTCCACATGCACTGGGCTTTCACCACCCATTTGAAATCCACATCTGCCTTTCTGTTCCAGCTGCCCCACCTTTTAAAGTCACTCTTATTTTATTTCATACATGGAGTGGGCATGTGGCCTGTGTTTGTGTACCACATGCCTGCAGTGCCCGAGGAGGCCAGAAGAGGGCAGCGGACCCCTGGAATTGAAGATTATCGACAGTTGTCCCCTGAAGTGTGGGTTCAGGGAGGGGATCAAACCAGGGCCTTCTGGAAGAGCAGCCACTGCTGTTACTCACTGAGTCATCTCTCCAGCCCTGAGTCCTCTGATGCTTGAAGAACAAGATCAGACAGTAACACCAGGTACTTCCTGCCTGTGAGAGACACACTTGAACCCTACCATCCTGAGAAGGAAGCTGAGGGAGGAAGGGCTCCGTGACTTCTCAAAGGTGCACACAATTTTCTAAGCCCAGGTTGCCCATTTCCTCTGATGTAGCCAAACAGAACTCTGAATCAGAAAACCCAGGACAGATTTCTCCATGCCTCCACCTATCCAGCTCCGTCAGCGTGTATTCTACAAGAAGACAAACACTTCTGGTTGATCGGGTTTTGTTCTGTTCTATTCTGTTTTGTTTGTTTTCAGAAATATGCTGTCTCCCCACAAAGAAGTGATGTGTAATTCCTTTAGAACTGGGTAGTTTTCCAAAGCTGTGTGTGATGAACCTGACACACACACACACACACACACACACACACACACACACACACACACACAAAACTCAGATCTAGGAAACACACGGAAACAAGGGTTTGGCCTATCTCCAAAAGGCCAGCATTATACTTCCAGGAAGCCCACGTCTGCCACCAAGAGGTATCCTTGTAGAAAGGCGCCATGGAAAAGGTGACCGCTAGTCATCCAGAAGAGATCTCAGACACCCCACTGTGGTCTTCTGCACAGCCCACAATGCACACAAGCATAACGGACGGCTGTTGTGCTCAGTGAAGTTCCAAAGTGACTTGTTTCCCAGCCATAATTACGTGAATAGCAGCGCAGGGCAAACAGCGATAGAGAACAGTAGTTGATGTGTTGGTTACCTCCCAGAATTTCTAGAATTTCTAGTGGCTGTTCTAAGGAGATTCCACTGTACTGGTTGCTGTTCCCAATACCCACCTCTCCCAAAAGTAAAGGTGGCAATGTATTTCTGTCCTAGCCAATCTCTTCTATTTTCTGAGGCCATTTCACCATTCATTCAATTCAAAGCATCTGCACATGCCTCTGTGGCTGTTTCTAAAGCTCAAACAAGGTCATCTTTATAGGCTGATTGTTGTGAAGGAATGCCTAACGTTTCTTCAGTTCTCTTCTCTCTCTCAGTTCGATGCTGGCAAGTGTTATGTCTGCCAAGCTCAGAGCAGTGGCAAAATCAAGCAGAGTTAACAGATGAAACTTGAATTTTAAAGCTATTCTATGTAAGGTCCTTTACTGAGTAGCCTAAGGACTGGTACATCTACCCCTAGCAGGCATAGAAGACACTAAAACACGTGATCGTGTTTACTTCAGGAATACTCAAAGCCGGGATTCCTTACATGGTGTTAGCTTCTGTAAATGGGGACTCTCCAGAGGAAGCCATCTTTGGAAATGAGCCCCAGAATGATCTATGCTCTTTCGAGAACCACAGGAACATTTGTGCAAAAAGCCAGAATTAATTGACTTGGCTTTAGGTACAAAAGCAAATTTACCTCTAGAGACCAAGACCTCTCCTCAACTCTGCAGGTTGCTTAGTTTATCTTTCTGGCCTCTGTTTCCCTGTGCACGTGCTGGGTTGGTTCTAAGCAATCTATTCCATGAGCACACTGCTCATTGGTCCAGATGGAACAAAACAGAACAGGCATACACATAGTTCTCAAGTGACCTGTCACTGACTGACCTTTCTAGTCTTGCAGATACCGGCACACCTAACAGGATAGTTCTAAAAGCAGCCATGACTGCATGGAAATGCAGAACTCCCCGACTTCCAAGTTCATGAACAGCTGTCATATTGTAACTCATAGGTGAATTACCTTTCTCTTGACAAAGCCTACCTAACCATGTTACAGTAAACTTTGGCAAGGACAATCTCTCTCTCTTCCACATTCATATGTACTATACTGCATGTGTTTCAGAAAATACTCTCAAGAGAGCCCAAGCTCTCAGTAGGATTCAGAATCAACCTCAGAGATTCCTCTCCTGCTCATTTTAGAGCCACTATTCAAAGTTCCCATTCAAGGTGGTTTAAAAAGAAAGAGATACGAGAATATTGACACACACACTTCAGAATTAAAACATAACAAAGAAAAACATGAGGCCCCCTGGTGGTCTGTCAGCTTCAATGTCCAAAACCACCACCCCCTGGCTGTGCAGAGTCTGGGCTGTGCTGTTCTCGGGGAGGGTGAGGTCCTGATGTGTCATCTGCTGGGTTCCCCTGTTCTGCTGAGGTGAGTCATTCTTCCTTCCGTCTCTTTCTGTCAAACTCAACCTTTCTAGCGGCCAGCTTCACCGTGCTATCTGTGCACCGTGCTATCTGTACACCGTAAGTCACAGCTGTAGTCACACTCCTGGGAGTTACAGTGAGTCAGAGACACAAACACCAAGGGGCCAAAGGGAAAGGGACTAGAGCTTCCAGAAAGACCACATGAAATAATGTCACGCTCTCTGAGTCAACCCAGGAGGTAGCAAGCCATTCCTATCTGTGTCAGAAGAAACAAGTGGTGTGTGGGGCTTAGCCCTCTCCTCACAGAGACTGCCAGGGGGACAGTCACGGGGGGGCGCAGTGTCAAGAGGGCTTCTGTCATAACCTTGCCTAGCCTGAAGATCTACAGGGCTTTGAACACCTCAAGTTGTATTGGGCTGACTAGGCAATGGCCATGGTCACATTGCATCGTCACCACTGGGGTACACCCCAGCCTCTGGGTTACCAACTTAGAACTCTGACATTTGGTTAAATACAGTCTGAATTACAGCATCTGTGTTTTATCAGACATGTAGACGATGGTTTGTGCGGTGGCTTTGATGCACGCTGCTTAGAATAAATAGCATTTTTCATGGACTCCCCACTCATGGATGTGTTCAGACCACTCTCTTGCTCCTGTTCAAGACAAATGTCTATCCTAGAAAGGCACGTCACTTGTGTAGATTATTTTACCTTTTTATTAATTTGTATAGGAAAATAAGGGACCTCAGAGAAAATTGGGATATTTTTAGGCCCTTACTAGATCACATTCATTCTGAGACAACAACAACAATAATGATAATAATTGCATTGTCTTTGGAACACACCTTTCTGTGTCAAAAAAAAAAGTGACAAGACACAGACACCACTAAGGGCACAGAGCAGAACACAGAAAGGCTGATTTTAGCCTCCAAAGGAGCAATGCAGGGAGGGCCTGTGCCTCTGGCTCCTGCTGAGTGCTTTCTTCAACCTCAGCTGGGTGACTCCTTCAGGAAGGCCAGAAACAGTTCCTTTCCTTTCCCTTTATTCCCCCTCCCTCTCCTCTCTTCCTCCCTCCCTCCCTCTCCTCTCTTCCTCCCTCCCTCCCTCTCTATGACACTCCTTCTGTGGCTGAAAGAAAGAAGAAAATACCTTTCTAGTCTCATCCAGAGATGTAAATTACTTCAGGGTCAGAGAGAGGAGATGGCCCCCTTTCTTAGTGTATATCCTGCTGAGCTTTGGGGGTGCCATGCATGTCATAACAGAAAGACTTGCAGACCCAGAAAATGGGACCCTTTCCTACACCCCCACACCGGCACATCAAGGACTACTGCCACCTACTGCTGCTGCCTAGTAGCTGTTTCCTGGCCACTACCCGCCTTCTAGCTTATTTGGCAAAGGAGGCCTATAATTGTAAAAACCATTTCTCTGAAGCACACGGAGTCCTGCGGAGACTCTGCATGCTAGATTTTCCAGCCAGGAAAAAGACTCGCTTATAACAACATGAGAAGAGTGTTTAAAGGGTGACTCGGATGAGTGGGCAGCACTTTGGAGACGTTTCGGTTTTCTCAAAGGCCACACATACTCACCATCTGGAGCCTGGGCATTGTGGAAGGCACTTCTATACCAAAGCTTAATGTCAATCTTAAAACTGTTGTAGATGCACAGGATAGATACAACCAAAAGCAGGAACGCCATAAGCCCTCCTACGAGGTAAGCCCGGAAGTCTGGAGCTACAAGTGACAGGGAAAAACCAAAGGCAGAAGGTTAGCTTTATCCTCCCTGTCAAAGCCAGGTAGGAACCGTGAGGACACTGCTTGAACACACCTCAAGGTTTCCTGGATAATTTCAATGGGGACTGTGGAGTTTGGGAACAAATGTGGTCTTTGAAAACCAGGAAGCCCTAAATAGGGACGCAGGAGCAACAAGACTCCAGACTCCAGTTGCATGGGGACTGTTTCAGAGCCTGTGGGCCAGGTGCCTTCTTGGGGTACAGTCTGACCACAACTAGAATGTCCCCCAGGGGTTCCCCTGGGATTCTGGGTTACAATATGCTCCTCCAGACCCTCAGAGCTGAGCAGAGGGACTTCTGGTAAAAATGGAGCTATTGGCCCTCTGCCCAGAGACCAGCTGTACCGGATCCACAAGATGAGCGGTGAGACAGGTCTCATGCAGCCCTTTCCAGGGCTCCTGAAGTCAGGGCTGGTGTCTGTCTGGTAGTTCCTGACACAGTACACAGTGCCTGCTCTGTGTACTGCAGAGAATTTCTGACAACAGGCAAGTGGGCAGACAGCTGGAGGAAGAACCAGTTACTCCAAAAGGGAAGTCCCAGTGGCTTCCAGAACAGCTCCGGAACACCAAGAAGAGGAAACATGCAGCACCCTACCTTGCCACAACCCAAACGGGTGCTGCCAGAGGAGGGCTGCCTGGGAATGAGGGAAGAGAATAAGGGAATCCACCTCCCCAGCCACTGCCTTCATTAGCCCAGTCAGATTGTCAACACAACCTAGAAGAGGGTTGGTGGGTCGGGGGCAGGGCCAGGGGGAGAGGGGGTGTGAAGAGGAGGCACCTTTGTTTGGGTCTTCCAGAACAAGCTCTTTCAGTTTATAAAATCTTCATGAAGGATCTGATCAAATCCTCCCTGGACCACACACACAGTTAACATCCGAGGCCTAAGACTTCCTGTATATTTTCAAATGTCTTTAGATGCAACAGCACACTCAAGCACAATGACAGAAAGCACACGAGGTACCACCCACACCCCAAATCAGTCTACTGAGTAAGCCCCAGTGGAGCTAGTGGAGACTGCGCCACACCCTGTTGCCCCATCTGGTCCTGCCCCTTCTTTAGAACCTTGCCATCTGCCTTCTAACTATGAGATGGAGTCTCCCCTCCTGCCCACCCTCTCCTTATCTTTGCCAGTTCTTATCACAGTTGTATGAGTAACCATCTCTCCCTTTGGGAGGATCTAGTCTGGGAGAGTCAAAGTCTATGACAGAGATCTTGGACTTGCAGACCATGATATGACTATCCCATGACTAAGCCGGCAAGACTTAATGAGATTCAAAGAGCTCTTGGCAATCAGAGAGCAGCCTGAACCTCTCCAGTTCACCATTCCTTGCACTGAGTAGTGTTGGAATGCTCTGCTCTGCAAATGTGCTCAAAGATGATGATGTTGAAATTGTCTCATTAAAGAAGAAGCTCAAATGAGTGAAAATAGAAAGAAGTAGAAATAAATCACCGCTAATATACCAGATTATTAAGAATGTGATTTAGCCAGGTGGTGGTGGCACACGCCTTTAATGCCAGCACTTGGGAGGCAGAGGCAGTCGGATCTCTGTGAGTTCAAAACCAGCCTGGTCTACAAGAGTTAGTTCTAGGACAGGCTCCAAAGCCACAGAGAAACCCTGCCTTGAACATTGAAAAACAAAAAAAAAAAGAAAGAAAGAAAGAAAGAAAGAAAGAAAGAAAGAAAGAAAGAAAGAAAGAATGTGATTCGTCTGGGCTGGAGAGATGGCTCAGTGGTTAAGAGCACTGGTTACTCTTTCAAAGGACCTGGGTTCAATTTCCAACAGCCACATGGCAGCTCACAACTCCCTGCAACTCCAGTTCCGGGAGATCTGATGCTCTCTTCTGACTCCCAAGGGCACTAGGAATATATATGTGACGCACACACATACATACACCCAAGCAAATAAAACAAAATATGAAAAAAAAGAGAATGATTTGTTATTTGAGTTCACGTAGCTGCTATAGCAGCCTTCTGATGAGATTAGAGTGGAGGGCAAGCGAGTAAAAGACACAGGAGGAAGGCAGGGACAGAGGGAGGGAGGGAGGGAGGGAGGGAGGGAGGGAGGGAGGGAGGGAGGGAGGGAGGGAGGGAGGGAGGGAGGGAGGGAGGGAAGGCAGGGACAGAGGGAGGGAGGGAGGGAAGGGAGGGAGGGAGGGAGAGAAGGAGGGAAGGGAGGGAGGGAGGAAAAAATTTCATAGGAAAGACAGCTTTCCCATGATCTTGCTTCAGATGAACCAATAAGAATCAAATCTGGAAGAATCTTCAGAAAAAAATGAGGAAGTAAAATGAAGAAGCTGCCACCAAACACACCAAGGAGTTTAGATTTAAGAGGGTGAGGTTCATAAGAACTCAAGGTGATCAGAACAAGGTAGACACAACCCACCAAAAAGCCACTGTGTGTGGGCTGTGGAGGGAGCACTTGGAGAAACCAAGAGAAGTTTAGAAAAGTTTCCTACATATCAGTCCAAACTAACTGAATAAATAATCCCTCCTACACCCACATGACTGGCAGGGATTAATTCCTTAGCTGGTAACATTAGCCCTACGAGCCTGGGCCTCAAAGTTCTTCTGAGTATAATGCTTCCAGGTAGTCAGTATGAATAAAGTCTATATTGACCATCTTGGGGCTAGGTAGCTAAACGGTCAAACTTATATGTTAAGTTAGATGGAAACTGAAACCATGTTAGGTGTCAGGGATTCCATAAGGTGTGTCAGGTCCTAGAGCGAGCCTTTCCCTTTTCTCTGGGGTCACACTCTCTGGCCTATCGAAGCCAAGGCTCTTTTACTGCTGGAAGCTATGGGGGTGTCTTCAGGTTCTTCTCTGTTCCTTGGCTGAGAAAACATACTCTCACTGGATTATTAAAATCGGCTCCTTCATCAAAATAGGGGGCCTTTGGAAGGGGATTCTTTGCTGGTCTGACTGCACTCTGCAGGTCAGACAACAGAAATGGATGAAAAGTAACTGGGAAGAGGTGGGCCACCAAGGCCAAGAATGCCAAGCCGAGAGTATCTGTTCTATCTCAGGGGGAGACAAGTGCATTAATATCCCGTCCGGGGATGCTGGGGATTCCGACATCCTTGGAGAAATAACTTATACTAGACCAAAGAAAGTTCTCCAAGCAAAGACATCATTTGGAAAACTGATATAATCATGCAAATAGCATGTAATAGCCCAGGCCATTATAGTAATCCAATGTCTTAGATCGCACTGAATGTCAGGCTCCATGTTGCTTTGCAAAGTTGATCAACTCTGACTCTCTCATACTCTACTCTGAGGGGCGTGAGAATGAACGGGCACAGTCGCCATGTGGAATGATGTGGTATTTTATAGTAAAGCTGATGACAGAGGTTCAATTAGCAATTCTGCTCTCAAAAATATATCATAAGGAATGCTTCCACATGGGGACCAGGGTACACAGACAGGAACTTCCATAGTGTCATTACATGGTAACTGTCCTAATCTGGAAACAGCCCAAATAACCACTTATTTTTCATGTAATTGATGAAAGGTGACCTGGCTGTGGAGTAGAATGGGTTTCTAGAATTCAGATGAAAAAGGAGCTACTTGCTACATTATCAGTGAACCAACACATGCCAGGTATCTAAGAAAAGAAGAAATAATACCATCTCATACTCTTAATATACAAACCCTAAAATGGCAAAAATAAACTATTTTTAGAAAGATTACCAAATATCACAAAGCAGAGAAATGACTTTCCTAAAAGTAAGAGGTGTCCAGGTCAAAGTAGGAAAGACATGTTTTATCCAGAAATAGCACGTGGGCCTTTCTGTCTCACAATGTTTATCTGTTGTCCCTAATGAAGATATGGTAGCTTCACTTGTATTTAATTGCAATATAACTGTTATGTGGTATGCACATTTTCTGTGTGCATTATATTTGCCAATAAAACAGAAAAGTCCAATTTGTTCTCAGGACCTTTTCTCCACAATAGTGTGGAAGGTGCTCTCATGATTCTCAACTCACAGACAAGTGAACTCAGATACCAGGTGGCCATGCATCTGCGCAATGCTAAGGCCAGGACTTAAACGAGGAAGCTTTAATGGTCAAGTCCTAGGTGTGCAGCACCCCACCATCTAGCTAATTAGTAGAATGGACAAGCCTGGTAGAAGTAGCAGACAGACCTAAGGGAGACTATAAATCTGGCAAGTTAGTCAGTCATTGTCATGAGATATGACATCAGACTTTGGATATAAAGTATATGAAAAATATTTAGCAAAGGTAGGAAAACAAGGTGTAAGAGATTAAATAGATTTGGAATTGTTTTGCCATTGTATCTGCAGACTAGTATATAGCAGGAAAGGTAAAGCTGCCATGAAGGAAGAGAGAACGCAGTTGGATATGTGGAATGTGTTTGCATCTGCCTTAGGGTAATAACTGAAGCCATGGAGAACAGAAGGCTGCAGGAGTAGAGGATTCAGGACTCAAAGGAGAGCTGCTAGGGCCTCGAGAGCCTCCAAATGGAATGACAGGTACAGAAGATCAAGAGGCAGGAAAGGTGATCAAAAATGACTCTCCTTGAAAGCCAGTGCAGGATAAGGAGCTAGTGGACACATATGAGCCCACTGTTCCTTCCATCCAACCAAGCTGTGCAGGTCCCCAAGAGTCCAAGACAAAGAAGCAGGTGCTGCATGGCCACTCACAGTTAGCATAACTAGGGACAGAGTGAGCCTAACCCCAGGTCATCAAAGTGAGGGGGGAAAGCATGTCCATTCAGAACTGTATACTGCCTTAGACATGTTCCTACTTGTATCTACTCTAAGGGAAGTGATGTACATCCCCTAAGATCAGAATTCAACAGTGACAAAGCCACACTGGTCAAGTTCTAGAGAAAACTGTCCATTGGGCTTTACCTTGATGCATGTGATTAACTGATATTTTGTTTGTTTGCTTGTCTGTTTGTAGAAACAGGGTTTCTGTGAGTATCCATGAATGTCCTGGAACTTACTCTGCAGACAAAGCTGACCTCAAACTCAGAAATCCACCTGCATCTGCCTCCCGAGTGCTGGAATTAGAGGCGTGTACCACCACTGCCCACTTTGTGATTGTGGTTAATTGATTATCAATGTATTCTCATGAATTCAAGCCCTCTCTTATGGCTATAGCTCTACACACACACACACACACACACACACACACACACACACACACACAGAGCATTTCACAAGGTCTCTGGTAACTCCCTTAGGCATGTTCTGAGTTTCCAGTTACTCTCAAGGTCTGCTTTTACCCTGCCCTCTGCTGTGTGGCTTTCCATCAAAATGACAGGAAAGCAGGAGGCAGGCAGACCAGTTAGGAATTAGGGAGTGAGCAAGAGCAAGAGACAGATCAGAGGGGGTCACGAGGGACAGCACACAATCTCAGCACAGTCTATCCATGTGTAAGGATGACAAAAGTGAAAGAAAAAAATTTAAAAGAGCTCTTTAGTCACTAAAAATGATCAAGAAAAAAAAAGTCCTGTGCATTTGAAAGTCCTTGTGTTCAGACATCAGATGTATAGACAATGTCACAAAGTTACAGGTTAAAAACATTAAATACAAGCATTCTATTTGTACAGCAAATTATGTTTGACAGACTAAAAGTTGAAAGTCACAAATAAATGATTATGAGCATTGAGCAATTTGGTTAAAAAAGGAAAACTCTATTTTCTGGAATTTTGAGGCATAAAATCTCAATGTCTATAAAGATGACCCAGGCAAAAATACTCTGATAGAATTTCAGCTTTATCCCAAGGCATCCATCAGACACGGCACCATCTTTCACTAAATGGTACTCCTGAGTTCTCCATTTTGTGCCTCCTGTTGCCACCTACTGAATGTATGACACAGCCTTCCCTGGCCATCACTTCCAATGATCTGCTGGACATTACCTGGGAGCTTCAACATGATGTAGGCTGTAGACACTCCAGCATGGCACATGAAAGGAAGGCCATAGTCTTCCATCTTCACTTCTAAGAATGTGATGTTCACGGTGTAAAAAATGTGATCTTTGAAGGAAACATTGGTTCTGGAAAGAAAGAGTCAGCCATTAACATGTAAGCCAGGTTTATGCAACATAAAGTGTAGCCTATCTTCTAGAAATAGTGTGTGGGCTTTTTGTTTTGTTTTGTTGTTTTGTTTTTCCTAGAGAACTCCCTGGGCCATATTTTACTCTTGAGATACTTACTAGGGTTACTTAATATATGGATATTCTATAGTCATGAGTTTTCATTTTCATCTGGAGAGTCATTAAAAAATGTGGCTCTGCTGACTACTGTCCCAGGCACAGCCCTAATTGTCATGCCCCCCACCAGATTATATAATAATGTATGCACACAGCAGGGTTCACCACGATCATTAGTCCTGATTCCATTTATATCACAAATCACAGCACCAGAAGTTGAGTTTGAACACCATTGCCTGTGCACCGTCTCCCACAAGAAATCCTGCACTGGTCTTCACTGTGCTAACTCCACATTGAAGGCCAGCAGCTCATAATGTAACTGAATGGGATAGGCTGGGTCTGAGTGACAGTTGGCACATACAGATGTTGTTTCTCTAAGGTACAGCTCGTGTTTCTCTGACACTGATTTGGTGGAAAACATAAGCATCTTGCATTTGTCAGAGCTAGATGCCCAGCTGCACACAGCACATAATCATTATTAGAAGACAAAGTCAAGAGCAGAAATGAAAAGGCCAGTGGCACTGTCTATCAAAAGCAAGGATAGCAGCATATTGATGTCTATGGAGTAACCATTGCTTGCTTTCAGAGAAGTCCCCATGTCAGCACCTACTCAATTCCTTCCCGGATGCGCTTGGAATCGTTGTAGTAGTCATCCACCAGGGTTCCGTTGATTCTCCAGCAACGCAGGTTTGTATTCTCCTTGGTGTCCGTTATATTGCAGTCCACAATAAGGGTGGAGCCTGAAGCAATAAGATTTATAAACACTGAAAGTGCTACAGATTCCCAAGCTGTCACCCTGGTTGGTAATCTAGTTAACAAATAAACCTTGCTTTTGAGCCTGGAATGTATTAATTGCCACAAACATCCCCCAGGTTGGTGTCCATGTGCTTGATCCTCTTTCTGCATATAAGGCAGGATGGCAAGAAGCCTTCCAGCCCGTGTTGTGAAGAGATCTGCACACACTCCCCAACAGCGACATCTCTGAAGAGAGTCTCCCACAATGTGAGACATAAGCACTACTCCACCTATTCCTACTGATGTTAGCAAAGTCCTTTCCAGTCTACAGAGTGCTTCCTAGTCATCCTCCAACCCCCAAGACTGTGCATCTTTGAAATAATTCAGCAAAGAAAAGTGGGCAGCATTCCTCTAGGGACAAATGAAAATCTTAAATTCAGACAGACTGAGTGGCTTGCTCTAGGTGACACATGCATTGTAGGAAGACACGAGACACAAGCTCTAGTTTCCTCTTCTCACTGGATATCCCTACTTTAACAGATGTGGCCCCTGTTCCTATTCCCTTACCCTGTGTCCACACACAACCAAATCATATTTAGTAAATCTATATTTCAATTTATCTTGTTCTTCAGTCCAATATGGCCTACTTTACTTTTCAAAGGGTGTTCTTCATTCTATGTGGTATTTTACATTTTATTGTATAATGCAAACAATAATAAACAACACGGAGTACAGTGCATTAAAATAAACTTCTGTATCACCTTCTCTCCATGAAGAAAACAGTGTAGTTCCCAAACTCCAAAGTTTCCCACATTCCTTCATTTTTATTGCACCGATTGCGTATTTATCACCAGATCTGGCTTCTGTTGCTTAACATGTACTTTGGGGGCTTATCTGTGCTATTGCATGTGTTATAAAGTGGGATATACTTCTGTCTATTTATTTCTTCTAAAATCACTATGTATTCATTCCTGCTTTATGTGTTTCTGATATTTCCTAGGTGAGTCTTCTAGGAACTTTCCTGTGTATGTTTCCTGAGGCACACATGAACCCATTTCATATAAATGCATATGATCCATGTATATAATAGGAACATATAGCTTCTTCAACATTAGCATTGACAGCATATAATACTCAACTTCACAAGGTTGTGATGGACTGTTTCCTAGAGGGTTGATTCAAACTGTATCTCTACCAGCGCTGTATAAGCTTCTTGGTGCTTCATATACTCAATGATACTAATGGTCAGACCATTTTATTATAGATGCTCATGCTCTGAATCTAATTTGTATTTCCTTACACTGCACATGAACAAACAGCCACCTTCTATTTTATTGGTCATGTGGACGGTACTGATTGAACATTGTTCATTTTCCCTCCTCTACAGATGGTGCTGTTAAATACATTGCTTCAATCTTTGGGTTCTCACTTGTCTAATAAACCTGCCAAAGATTCAGTATATCAGAATTTCCCATTATATGGACACAAGTGTTCTGGACTGGAGAGATGGCTCAGCGGTTAAGAGCACTGACTGTTCTTCCAGCAGTCCTGAGTTCAATTCCCGGCAACCACATGGTGGCTCACTCACAAGTGTTCTGCCTTGCTGTATTATTCCTATATTTCTAAGACTTTTAGCCTTACTGGAAAGTGGTGATGCATGCCTTTAATTGCAGTATGTGGGAGGCAGAGGAAAGAAAAGAGTTGGAGACCAGCCTGGTCTACAGAGTGAGTTCCAGGACAACCAGGACTGTTACACAAAGAAATCTTGTCTTTAAAAAAAAAAAAAGGACTTTTAGCCTTATGTATTTGATTCATGGTGACATAAAAACTGTATTTTTCTAGGCCTAGTGGAGCAGTAACTGAAGCTAAATCAGGAAATTAGAAATTCAAGAACTGCCTGGAATAGAGAGTAAGTTAAATTTAATTAAACCCTATCTCAAAATAAGAAATAAAAAGACTTTGGAATATAACCCAATGGTTATATTGCTCTTCCAGTATGTGTGTGTGTGTGTGTGTGTGTGTGTGTGTGTGTGTGTGTGTGTGTGTGTGAAGCCCTAGGCTCAATCACCAGTATCAACAACAACAAAAAACTACTTTGAAAAGCTTTGCAGTTTTAATTTGAATAAAGTGACTCAATTGGTTATTTAACATTTTGGATCTTGAAAGATCCTGATTTTTATGATAATTTTTTCAAATGATACTTTGCCAGTGCAGTTATTTTTAATCTTTTGGATCATGTACTTTTACATGTCTTTTTTTTTAAAGCATACTATTGGACAGATAAAAACCTAAATGAAGTATGATTTTGGCTGAATCTGAAGAGCTTCCTTTTAATAAAGACTTGGTTTAATTGCTTTTTCCCCCCAGACAGTGCTCACTCTGTTTATTTTATTGGTAACACCTCTACATAAGAAAAAGTGAGCCCCTTTTCTGGGACATTGGGACATTGATTTTTGGTCTTTTACTGTGTGAATGATGGATATACTATAGTCATTTCCCTTATTTCTTGAATGCATATTCTTGTATGAGATAAAATAATACAGAATTCCTGATCCAGGTTATTTAATAGCAGTAGTTTTACATTTATGTAATTGTGTTTATGCTGTCATTGCTTTTGCACAAACAAAGTCACAGAAGTCACCAAGACTCGCAGTATTCAGTGCCAGTACATCGACACCATAGTACCCCAAGTTGAGGTTCTTGGTTTTCACTTTGATACATGTCCTGTTGAGCCCAGGCACACCAAGAGTTGGAAATTAGACATGTGCTGGGTTGTCTCCACCTTGAACATTCAATGCATCCACTAAAACAAGTGGATGGAATGAACTCTACCCATAGTAACCAGGAGGGTTCCAGCACCTTTACTTACCGAGTTGAACTTCGATGGAGTTGTTTTTTGGATACGTGATATTAGGAATCCTTCCTCCAGACACAACTTCCTCTGATAAGAAATCACACCCATTAGAACTGCAAAAAAATTACACACTCCCCCCCAGAAACCTAATGTAATGGCATGAAGTGCAGCGAGAGAAAAGCTTCATAAACACTGGTCAAGAAAACTCAAAACTCAAAAGTATGACATTTAGGACGACCATAGTATTGCTGCATTCCGTAAGCCCTTCACTTCATGAAGTGGATATCAGTGAAAATCACCATCAGCTAGTCAATGATCTAATCTACTAAGTCACACACATATCAAATCTGGAGGTCATCCTAGTCAACAGCTTTCTCAACACCCCCTTCAAATTCTTCACCACACAGCCCAACACGTTACCTCCTAACTTCTCAAAGTCATGGACTCTGTCTTCACTTCACGACCATCTCTTTTCTATTCTCTACTCTTTTTAGACCAGCTTACCCACTCACATCTTTAATTGCCATTTAAAGTCCAATGCCCAGAAAGTCTTAACTCTAGGATTCCCTGTGAGTTCCAGACCCACAGAGGTTATGACCTATTCTATTTTTTCTCTTGCATGCCTCATGCTCAACTTGCCAAAGACCAAATCTCTCCTACACATATTTTCTTCTTGAGTTGTCTTGTTGATTAATGTCACCGTCCACCCAGCAGCGTATGCCCAAAGGCCCAGAATTTATGACTCCTTCCTTCCTCTCTATACAAATAGCTCTAAGAGGTGCATTTTCCCCCTTTGGAGACACAGTGCATGTGTCTACACCTCTCCATCATCCATGTTACCATGGTGACTGTGCATGCATGATGTCTCACATGTACTTTGGCGTCTGCTTCCTAACCACTGTCCTGTTCCTGGAGGCAGCATCAGCACAGTGGCCAGTCAACTTCTTTATAAATGAAAAAGCACCACCCAAGCTGTTCTCATGGAATCAACACCACTGGCTGCTTACCATTGTTCTGAGAATCTATGCTGCCCCATTTGGAATTCGAGTTTCACCAACCCCTCACTCCTGATTGATTCTCTAACCACATCACCTGTCATAATCTCATCAACCCAGTTCAACTTGCCTGTTTTCCATCTCTCATACACAACATGGCTCCTCTTGTTCTGGTGCCTGCACAGCTTTTTAGTCTTCTATCTGTAAAGACCTTGGTCATGCTATCAACCTATGAGCTGTTTCCTGCCTATCAGCATGCATGCATGGCCCCTGTAATGACACATCTCATACTGGATTATCATCTGTTTCTGCCTCCACTGCCTCTCAGGCTTCAAACTTTATCATAGCAGTACCCAGATGTTTCTTTCCCTCATCATCATTTTCTCAATGGCTAGCATAGGGCCTGGCATCTCTTATGCCCTCAGTGAAGAGTTACTGAATGAATAATCACTGCACCCAAGCAGAGACTGTCAACACTCTTCTGGATGTCACGGTGTTATTCTAGGTGGTCTCAGGACTCAAGGCTTGCTTCAACCGCTCCTGCTTCTAACCATCCTGGGGCCAGCTTCTCCCATTACATAGCAGCCTCTTAACACTGCACTCACATCCTTCAGTCTGATGAAGGCCACAGATGGGTGGCCACTTGAACTTATTCCCAACTTGAACTCAGCTCCCAACTCTCCTCTTCCCTGACACACTTATGTTGTAAGGAAATTTTCTATGGATCCAACAAGAAACACAATGTCTGGTACTGTGGCACTTGCCTTATCTGTGGCCCTTCTCATTTTCCTTTATGATTTAAAGATCCATTCATCTATCAGAATCCCACAGAGAACTCATTTCCTCTTGGAAGTCTGTCCAGTTTGTTTGTTGGCCACTTTTCTAATTCCTTCTGATTGTTTTTGTTCCTTTAGAACATGAGTTATAATTGCAATTTTTGCACAGGATGCCCAAATAATCCACTTGTAGCTCTCAGCTCACTACCCATGAATCTGAGGCCTCCCAATAGAAGAATTACATGTTCAATTTTTTAATTACAAGGTTTAAACATAGTTCTAAGCATATAACAGACTGTGGATAAATATTGATTCTCCTAATGTGGCTCGAGGACTCTTAGACCCAGTAACTTCCTAGAAGTTTAGCCCTTTAAGAAATTTCCTCAGCTGCTCATGTAACACTAAATGCAGCATTGTGGCTGTCAGTTATTCAATGAATGGATCTATTCCTAACAGAGAGTGGGGATCCAAATATGAACAAGATGAGGGGGCCACTCACAGGAGACACCATCAGCAGGAAAGTCCAAGAGCAGGACACTCACAAAACAGACTGCAATTTGTTTTCTTAAAAAAAGGTAGAAAATTAAAATTGAAGACCATCCAAAAATATGTAAGTAAATGTAAAGTAATATGTAAGTAATTTCAACAAAGAACGGTGCAAGACAAGGCAGGAAGAGCCATGTGGGGAAGAACAAGTCTTAGATGTATAGAATAGCCAGGTGGCTGTAATGGAGAGTCCGCCCTGAGTTACCCAGGAGCAGTCCCAGGTGGGCAGCAGGAAGTCATCATGGGAGCAGATAACCCAAGAACACAACTCCGTTAAAGAGAAAGAAAAACAAATAAGCTATCTTGTGGCTGGAGAGATTGTAAGATGCTAAGGAGTTAAGACACCTACTGATAGACCCCAGGTTTAGCTCCCAGCTCCGGCATGATGGCTCACAACCATCTGTAACTCCAGTTCCAAGGGAATATGACACCTCCTCCGGCCTCTTTGGTCAGAAGGCACATGGATGGTATGCAGACATGCATGCAGGCAAACATCCTTACATACAAAATAAAACTCAATCTGAAAGAAAAAGGAAGCTGCATTTCCTTAGATACAGTAGCAAATATGAATGCCCTAAGGGAAGAAACACCTGAAGAAGGCAGACCAATTCTTCATTCAGTGTGTACAGAAGGAAAAAATATTGACCTGAACACTGAAGGTCACAGTTCTGACCCTGAGTGTGGTTCTAACCAACCCTGTGAACATATGCACGATAATGCTTGAGCTGAATATTTGAGGCTTTTTTTTCCGTCTAATCTAAGATGTTGCCTTACAGTCTGCAGATTATCATACGTTTCAGGACACTGAGTGCCAGTGAAATAGCAGTTAGCACGGCTGCTTCCAGAAGGACTGACTACTCTGACTTGAGACCCAACACAGAACAAACAGTGGGTAATCTGGGAAACACACTCTGCAGAAGCTGAAACTAGGAGGCAGCACCAAGCCTGGAAAGGTCCTCCTCAATACACACAACAGTGAAGACGATGGGGAAAGGGAGGTAAACCTAACGCTGTCTACCATGGATGCCTACACTTTGCTAAGCACCCAGAAAATTCCCCTATTATACAGCCTCTTTGAATGTTCTCCAAGAGTTTTGAATATTGTGCTTTTAAAGTTTGGAAAATTAAGCTGCTTGTCTCCTTTTTTTCTCAATTTCTGACTCTCTGATCCAATAATGACATGTTTGAGGGTCTGTTATCCTTCAACAAAATCAAGGTCCAGTCTCCAAAGCCTGAAGTCATTCAGCTCCCATGAAGCTGAAAAGCAGACAACAGTGTTTAAGTAAACTTACTGATGCTCACAGCAATGTAGTTTCTAACCATGAACTGTCTCCCCAAGTATGTGAGTCTGGCCGTGCACGCATAGCTCCCACCGTCCTCTGCAGCAACATTGTTCACAAGAAGCTTTGTTCCTGAAACAGCATACTTCTTCCCTGCTTTAAGTTCTTCACAACCCTAAAGACACACACACACACACAAGAACTGAATGAGTACTGGGAAATGCTAGTAACTTTGCTAGTTAGCATTATCCTAGGTGCCATGGGGAGACAACTTCCATATCCACATGGTCACCTACAATCTAACTAGAAGACATTGCGTAATATATGCTAGCTAGATGCCAGATGGGTGGATGGAGGATGGATAGATGGATTGACGGACAGACAGATGATGGATAGACAGACATATAGAGAAGATACATAGGTAGGTAGGTAGATAGATAGATAGATAGATAGATTCACTTTGATAAAAAAACACTTGACATAAACAACTTAAAGACTCTTAATGAACTTGTGTCTTCAGAGATTTTACCCATTCATGTTGAGAAGTGTGTGGAGGAGCACTGGAGAGCATACTATGGAGGCCAGGGAGTAGACAGAAAGTCTGCAGTTGCAGTTTCTCGTTTTCCTGTTTATTTCATCTGGAACACAGACTATGGGATGGTACCACCCACATCCAGAGCGGGGTACTTTCCTCTTAATTAATCTTCACTGGAAATGTGCTGACAGACACACCCAGAGGTATTCTTTAAATTCTTAAGCATTTCTCAATCAGATTAAGGTGACAATCAACATAGAGAGAAACAGAGAGGGGTGGACAGTCATCTCTTAGTCCCCCTTCCCTCCCCGCCCCCTCTCTCTCGTGTGTATGGAGCATGTGTGTGATCTTCCTTGGCTGCTGCCCATCTTGTTTTTTGAGACAGTCAGGGACTTGGCTGGCCGGCCAACAAACCCCAGAAATCTGAATCTGCCAGTCTCTGATGCACCACCACTCCCAGCCTTTTTACATGTGTTTATGGGGATCAAACTAAGTCCTAGTGTTTTTAAGACAAACATCTTACCAAGGAAGCCACCTTCCTCACTCCCAAAGCTCCTTTTATCAAGCTAATCACCTTCACCTCATGAACCCACTTCCGGAATCTTGCCCAGGACTATTCCCCCTTCTCTGAGAAACCCCACTCCACAGAGAGGCTGCTTGGCTAATTGAGTCCATTTTTTTCTATTCAAATATTTAAGTTTCTGTCTTTCCCACACTGTGAGAGACTTCAGCCATGGGGGAATTAGACATAGTCACTGTCCTCATGAAACTCACAAACTAATAGATAAAATCCTAATTCAACAAATGTAACCAACTTGGTGTTGCATTGTCTCCAGACTTAACCAGCCACAGGGGGAGTCAGTCCTTACTCTCCACCCCAGAACAAGGAGAATAAATCTACTTTGCATGCAAAATTCAATAAATAATGTACATAATAAGTACATATATTTATAATGTACAACATGTCTTTCTAGATTTCTTTTTGCTGTTGTTGTTGTTTTTGTCTTTTTGAGACAGGGTTTCTCTGTGTAACTTTGGAGCCTGTCTCTCTCTGTAGGCCAGGCTGGCCTTGAACTCATAATTGCTGGGATTAAAGGTGTGCACCACCAAAGCCCTGCTGTCTTTCTAGATTTCTTACATTGTTCCAGTTGATACTCTGTGAGGGAACTCCAGTAATCACTTGGCAATTGTTCTCTGATAGATGGGAGCTACTATTAAGGATTGGATGGATAACAGCATCACCCCTCATTGTTATGAAGACCCATTGTTATGATGAAAATATATTCTAAGACATTGGACCTCTTTTGCTTTTAGGCATACAGCCAAGTTATTAATGCACCTTAAGATCTCTTAAGATTATGTCTTACTGTGCAGTCAGCCTGTCTGTTTAACTTGCGTTTAAGAGAACAATGTAACAACCAACCTTACCTGCCTTTGATTTCCCATGTATCAGCTTTTACAGCATAATCTAATACATAGTTGCAATTTAAAGTTATGTACTCTTCCACACCCCTGGCCCAGAAAGGATTCGGTGCATATATGCATGTTAAGGTAGTAAATGCTGGAAACATCAAACATGTGTAAAGAGACCTTGTGTAACAATTATCTAACATAAACATTGGAAATAGCATACAGATATAAGTTGACGATGGTACGCATTCAGTACTGAGTGCTTTAGGGTGAGCTGGAGTCAGTGACCTAGTCCCTTGTAAAACTGTTAAGGATTTCTGTAAAGTATCCTTCACTCCTTCCCCACCTAATGCTATAATGTTCAATAAAGAAAGAACAGAGCTCTTTGCTGGATACACACAGCAAGAGACAGTAAGACATCAAACAGGCATAGATAGACACAGACCCAAGGATGAATTCAGATCAACAACAACAGACTAACGACAACCCTGAAACCACAAAGTGAAACAGACAGAAGACACAAGGGGAAAAGAGAATTCAAATTTGAATTTTCTCTTGGTTAAATTAATCCAAGGGTAAGTGCTGAATATTTTAGTACCTCTGAATATATCCTTAATGCATTTAACTAATGCAGGTTGTAAATAAGCTAGGCTCTAGGGGGATCATGTAAATTTAGGTGTCTTATCTAGTCATAGTTCATTGAATAATGCTGTCTATGAAATACTAGTATGCACCAACATGCATTCAACTGCATTTTCTACTTCTGACTCAGCAAGTATAATATTTTGTAGACACAAAAATATCCCAAAATATGCACTAGGTATAAAAGTCTGATGAAGTTGAAACCAGTGAGATGGGCAGGAGTCTGATCATCAAAAATGATGGCAAAAGAAAGAAGAGTTGAAATGTTACTAGCAAAGAAACAAGATGGTCACAATGGTTTCCGAGGGCTGAAATGGACCATTGCCAAAACAAGGCAGAAACAGAGACAGGAAGAAAGCCAAAATCAATGACGTAGTTTAGATTTGAAACAGACAAGTTCCACGCCCTCAACTTGATCTCAATTAAGAGAAATGGAAGGCACGAAGGAAAACCAAGTAATAAAATTATCAGACAGAGACTTCGAACTAGTGACGTTTAAGTTGACTGGTTTAGCAGCAGCACTGGGAACTTCAAACATGTATAGGTGAGTGACGAGAAAGGAAGAACGCAAATCACAGATCTGGGGCTGAGCAGATGGCTTGGTAGTTAAGGTGCTTGTTGTGCAAGCTTGAGCCTTGGAATTTGGATCCACAGGAAACCAGCTAAATGCCAGGTGGGTGTGGCCGTCCTCTGGATTCCAGCTTCAGAAGGCAGAGACAGGGAATCTTTAATAGTTAGCTCACTAGCAAGGTTAGCCACATAGGTTAAGTGCTGGGTTTGAGGAAAAGACTCTCCCTCGTTGAATAATACAGAAGAGCAATGGAGGATGAATCTTGACACCGACTTCCTGTACACATGCCCAGGTGCACTCACACACATGCAAAAACATACATGTAAAAAGGAAAAAAATAGATAGATAACTGAAAATTACAATATCTGCACTGGGGAGTTTAGTGGAAGGTTTTACAAACCTGAGAATAAAAGGAGTATGCTAGAAAACAAGCTAGGAAGACTTGCCCGCTGAGGCATATGTACACGGTATGAGAACAGGAGAATGCATGTGAGATGTAAAAGCACATTGAAAACAATGGGTTAAATACATACTTAATTAGAGTTCTAAAGGAGACAAAAAGAAAATAACTTGAGAAAACACTGAAGGAACTAGTAACTAAGAAATAATGGAGCAAATGCATAATAAGCTATAATTGCAAAAGGTGTGTGCAGAATAGATAGGAAGTCTCTGTCTCAGCTCACTGGAGTCACACTACTAAACTCCAAAGTCAGGGATAGTGTTTTCAAGAAATTCAGAGATTGGAACCTATCACCTTCAAAAGGGACAGAAATCCAAGAATAAGAAAGGTGATCCTGTCCATGAAGCATGAAAAATACTGGATACCACAAACCATCGAATAATATGTTTAAAATGCAGAGTGAAAATAAGTGCCAATCCATGAAGAATAGTATACCAACAATGATAATAATAAACATTTTTAATTATATAATTTACACTAATAAAATTCATGAAATGTTAGTTGGACACATATATATTACATAGAATTATTCCAGGGACTGGAGATATGGATCTGTATAAGGGTTAGGAAAACTTGTTGCTTTTTCAGGGGACCTAGTTTAGTTCCCAGATCCTACAAGTGAACACACAAGCATTTATAACTCCAGTTCCAGGGGATCTGATACCCTCTTCTGGTTTCTGTAGGTACTGTATGTGGTATACACAGAGTCAGTCAAAACACTGACACATGAACTTTAAATAAAGAAAACTTTCAGACACAAGTTCAGAGATACTGATTAGATTATAAATGAGGATAAAGTTCAATGTGTGGGGAAATTCTAAAAGAATTTCATACTACATGGCAATAATTCAAGGCTAATCAGCCAATGATTGTTGAATATGTCCACTATGAAATTCATAAAAATAAAGATAGCTAATAAATGCTTGATTTTAACAAAAAAAGTAAAAAAAGAAAGGCAGTAAGTTTAGAATCAGAATAGTAAATGAAAACCACCAACAAAGGAGGTTTGAAGGTAACACATCAGGAATCACAGAAAACATGAGGAGTAAAAATCCAGCCTAGAGCTTTTAAGGGCCCAGATACCTGCTATTTAAAAAGCATCCCCTGAAAGGAGACAAGTGCAGAAGGATAAAAGTGGAAATATAGAAAAGCACCAGCTGCCACAATAAAACTAGTGTTGTTGTACCAACACCAAAGGGAGGCAAATGTCAAGAAAGAAAAAGAAAAAGGCACACCGCAAAAACTCAATGAAGCAGGAAGCCGAAGCAGCTTAAAATATTTCTGTAGATAATATCTTGAAAGTATAACACAAACATTAATAAAGTCAGTTGTACAGCAAAATCACACAAAGTTGTGTTAACAAGTCTAAGTTAAACTAAAAGAGAACAGGGAAGGATAACAGAATCCACAAGCTCAAATTCCTATGTTTACTCTCCCTTCAATACACAAGGACATTGACGGAGGTTGAACATATGTCCAAAAAGCCAGCCTCAAATTAAAAAATTCTGAAGGTATATAAAATGTTCTCTCTATCATATTACATCAAAATCAGAAATG